TTTTTTTTTTTTTTTTTTTTTTTTTTTTTTTTTTTTTTTTTTTTTTTTTTTTTTTTTTTTTTTTTTTTTTTTTTTTTTTTTTTTGTGATTTTAGCTGTAACTTTTGGTAAAGAAAATGTGGTTGAATAGATTCCTTTTTGGAGAAATGAGATTCTTCCATTTTGGGGAGAATATTTCCTCAAGTTTGGGGTGAACTCCACACTCCGATTTGATTTCTTTCATTCGGTAAACAAAATTGGAAATGAAAATTTTCATTCCTATTACTCTTCTCCCATTCCCACTACGTAAACAAGGCCTTAATGTTGGATATAATCATTTTACAGCTTCAGAACTTAAAAAAATTGTGTAGATATCGGATGGGCATAGGTGTTGCGGTTATTCCTCTTTAGAACACCCTGCATTGCTCTATTTATTAGTAAGCGAGTGCATATCTGTGGTGGTTCTTTCCATCTAATTCAAATTGATCATGTACGTGTTAGCATAACGTGGCGTTTTGTCAGCATCCAGGTAACAGGAATACCAGTTATATTCATTTCAGCCCTAGAAGGAAGGGGTCGACTAGCAGTCATGCGTCAAGTTGTTGAGACATATGAAAAATGGTGTTTGAGGTTGTCCACAGCACGTCTTAACCGGTGGTTACGGAAGGTCAGTAGAAAACGCCCTTTTGTTTTTCCTCGACTCAGCATACCCCTATAGCACAATATGTAAAAAGCTTGAGCTTGCACAGGTCATGAGCAGACATTCTTGGAAAGATCAATCTGCCCAACCAAAGGTCAAGTACTTCACGCAGGTGAAAGCCAGACCGCCTACATTTGTTGCCTTTGTCAGCGGGAAGACACGGCTATCAGATACCGACATCAGGTTTTTAACCAAATCGTTGAAGGAAGATTTCAATTTGGGTGGAATTCCCATAAGAATTATGCAGCGTGCTGTCCCAAAGAAAACTGATGATGGGGGTGGCAAGAGCAACAAGCATGTTAGCCGAACTCCCGAACGAAACAAATCCGATAAGAGAAGTCCCATTGTTAAAGAGCAGACAGCTTAAGCTTCGAGCAGCAACATATATTTTGGCAGAATGCTCGAAGGAATCAAATCAGATAAGCGAAGTCTCGATGTCAAAGAACTGACGGCTTGGTAGTGAATCATGAAACAGATTCACACTCCAGGAGTTGCTTAGGCTGAAAGAATGACGGGCAATCCGGAGGGAATTGGAAGATGGATGGGTTTTGATCTTCATCTATATAGATTTTGGAGTTCATTAGATAGATACTATCATGAAATGCCATCACTGTTAAATGATATGCATAAGTAAATTATTTTCATAGGATAGTTTTAGTTGTTCTATCTTCTTTCAGCTTGTCTGGATCTGCTGCCATTTACAGGCTTCTCAGAGTAAGATTGTGGGAAGAAAACCATGGAGGTTGTAAGCTTGGAGTAATGTTTTCATTTTTAGGCATTTCTTACGATATTTTTCTAAAATAAGATGGTCGAAGTTAAATGCTATATATGACATAGTTCGCGATATCATTTACGATATCATTTACGTAAATTGATGTAATAACTAATGCATAAAAATTAATCAAGTAAACCATTTTAGAGATCAAATAAATTGTAACGGTTTTAATCTTTTATATAGTTGTAAGTAATATCATATATATATATATATATATTTGAAGCAAACAATTCTAAAATTACACTATAATCTTTATCACAAATTACTTATTACTAAAAAGTTTAAGGATCTTTAAACTTTTAAATTTTTTTAAAACATATTAATAAAAAAATTTAAGAGTATTTTTGAGTTCGTTTTTTTCTTTAATTTAAATAAAGATGATATTAAAACCTTAAAAAATTTAAAGATATTATTGAGATAAATTAGAGGCACTTTTGGAGTCGACTTGGTGGAGGTGGTCGGATGGGTGAAACTGTTTTCATGGTGACCGGTGAACACGGTTTGAGGGTTGAGTTACTCTCCTTCCACTATTAATGCAGAACGAGGCCAGTTTGCGTTATATACTTGCAGGTTTATTGTGTAGATTTTGCTTAATATTCAGCAATTTTCATGCGATACTCATTGATTCTGATTACATTCAATCTTTTGCAGAGGTGAAAGTGGTGTCTGCATCTCTATAATCTTTAGTTTGCTGCTAATTTTCTGCCACTACATGTTATTTGAGATTTTGCGTGAAAATTAATCAATTTGTAGATGCAGAACAAATGGGAGATGATGAATTAGTGACATAGTCAAATATCCCGTTTATCTTCTCGCTTAGGTCATTTTTCCTCAAAAATTCAATGAGTGCACCATCAAAAATGTAGCGGCCTAGTTTTACCGCTAATAGATACTGTTCTCTTTCAGCTTTTCCTTTCGAGCTTCCCTTCAAGATTTTTAAACGCATTACTCTTTCAAGCTTCCCTTCAAGGTTTTTAAAACGCATTTGTTAGGAAGATGTTTCCACGTTTCTCCTTCCCAACCGATGTGGGATCTCATAATCTACCCCCCTTCGAGGCCTAGCGTTCTCATTGACACTCGTTTCTTTCTCTAATCGATGTAGGACCCCCACCAAATCCACCCCCTTCGAAGTTCAGTGTTCTTGTTGACACATTGCCTCATGTCTACCTCCTTTCGGAGCTCAACCTCCTCGTAGCACATCATGTGGTGTACGGCTTTGATATTATTCGTAACGGCCTAGGCCCATGGCTTTGATATCATTTGTAACAGTCTAGACCCATGACTTTGATATCATTTGTAACGGCCTAGGCCCACCACTAGCAGATATTGTCCTCTTTGGGCTTTTTCTTTTGGACTTCCCCTCAACGTTTTTAAAACACGATTCTCCTTCTCATCCGATGTGAGATCTCACAATCCACCCTCTTTCGAGCCCCAGCGTCCTCGTTGACACTCGTTCCTTTCTCCAATCGATGTGGGACCTCCACCAAATCTACTCCTTTCAGGGTTCAGTGTTCTTGTTGACACATTGCCTCATGTCCTCCTCCCTTCGGGATTCAGCCTCGCATGTCATCTGGTGTAGGCTTTGATATCATTTGGAGCAGACAAATTAGGATAGCATACTATTTTTCTTTTTAATCTTCTAACGGAAATGATTCAATAACATAGAAGAGGTTGTGGCCTGATATGTTAAGGGTTTCTCATCTGTTACTTAGATTGTTATTTTTGGTATTTGTTAATTCTTATTTTTGTTTTTGTTTCGTAGCAGGTTGTTTTATAAATGTCAATTTCTAATTTAGGAGTTTTAGTTGTTGCTCCACTGTTGACCATCAAGGATTATCCTGATAGAGAGAGGCTGATTTATCTAGTTCTTTACGGAGGGAAAGAAACATTTTTTTATAAGGGTGTGGAAGTCTCTCCCTAGCAGACACGTTTTAAAACTGTGAGGTTGACGATGATATGAAACGGGTAAAAGTAGACAATATTTGCTAGGGGTGGGTTTAGGCGGTTACAAATGGTATGAGAGCTAGGCATCGAGCGGTGTGCCAGCGAAAATGCTGGGTCTCAAAGGGAGTGGATTGTGAGATCCCACATCAGTTGGAGAAGAGAACAAAACATTCTTTATAAGGGTGTGAAAACCTCTTCCTAGCAAACTGTTTTAAAACCGTGAGGTTGACGATGATATGTAACGGGTCAAAGCGGACAATATCTGCTAGTGTTAGGTTTGAGTTGTTACAAATGGTATCAGAGCTGAGGACGTTGAGCCCCAAAGGGGGTAGATTGTGAGATCCCATATTGGTTGAAGAGGGAACAAAACATTTTTTTTTATAAAGGTGTGGAAACATCTACCTATCAGACGCATTTTAAAACCGTGAGGTTGATTGTGATATGTAATGGGTTAAAGCAGACAATATCAGATAGAAGTGGATTTGAACTGTTACAAATGGTATCAGAGCTAAGCCCCGAGCGGTGTGTCAGTAAATACGCTAAGCCCTTATGGGGTGGATTGTGAGATCCCACATCGGTTGGAGAGGGGAACGAAACATTTTTTATATATGTGTGGAAACCTCTCCCCGTTTTAAAACTGTGAGGCTGATGGCGATACATAACGAGTCAAAACAAACAATATCTGTTAACGGTGGGTTTGGGGTGTTACATTCGTGGTCTATCGTGGCAAGCTAGATTAATCATTCTCAAAAAAATTTGGACACCCATATGGGTTTGTCTGAACACTCATGGTTATCAGTATATATTGCTTTACTGTTTTACTGTGCTTTCTTTTCATTTATATGGTTTCTGATTTACTTCTGTGTTTCAAGTTTTTACTTTATTTTTATTTTTTTACCTTGCATGTAAGTTTGTACATATGATTTCTTTTTGTTCTATAATGGCTGAAAAGGTTATATATTCAATTACTTCATTTTCAGGGAGCCTTTGGGTTCGTTGGACGGTAGGTGAGGTTCTTTCATCCTCGTTCAACGTAGGTTTATTAGGTCATACACATTGTCTATGTGTGTATTTTCTTTCATTCTCAACTCTAGCGGACTTGCCTCTGCTCTAGACGAAGTCCTAAGACTCAATCTTGCCTCTACTCTAGGCCAAGGTCCACCAAACAAAACGTCGCATCTCGTTTCATCATCTTGTTTCTCAATGACATGACCCCATTTTGTTTGTACATTGATTAGAGACTTCATTGGATGATTTCAAACCCTTTGTTGGGTCAACAAGCTTATAACACTTTACCGAGACTTATCGGGTAATTCAGGCACTTATTGGGACCTACCAGGGTAATATTAGACTCTACCGGCCTATTTTGGTCCCTATCGGGCTTCTACTAGCCTAATCTCCTGCTCATGTTTTTTCAGATCAACATGTTTCGAGGGGAAATTGTTAAAGCATAATCTCGATTCAGAAGTCGTCAATTCTCTCAATGATCTAAAAAGGAGAGTAGATGGGAAGTTTTTTTTGCACCAATACTCTCTTTCTCAAACTTAATTCTTTCTTCATTATTTAGTCGATTCTGATGAATAGCCCAAGCTTAGCACTAGCAGAAATTATCTTCTTTGGGCTTTACCTTTCGGACTTCCCCTCAAGTGTTTTTGAAACGTATTTGCTGAGAAAAAGTTTCTATTCTCCTTCCCAACTGATGTTAAATCTCACAATGTCACATTATGTTTCAAGCGGATTATCAGGAGACAAGATGACATTGTTTCGTTTTTGTGTTCAAATTCTCTAGACTTCTGACAAGACGTAACCTTAAGTTTGATGATATGGGGACGATGTCTCGGCTCTCGAGCCTGTCTCGATTCGAGATGTAGGGTCTCTACGTTCCAACGAGAAGCATAATACTTGTGCAGGACATGGTTTGGCATATTTGAAGTATAGAAGATTGGCATGCGACAAGGAAATGAAAGAAGAGAAGGCAGCTTTCTGGTTTGTCAGCATTACCGTTTGTAGAATAGCTTTTTCTAGGTAGGCTTTGGCCCATCCATTAAATGGAATAGAGCTACCACCGCTAATAGATATTGTCATCTTTGGGCTTTCTTTTTCGAGTTTCCCCTCAAAATTTTTGAAACGCGTTTGTTCAGAAGAGATTTTTTTTCTTTCGAGATTTCCCTCAAAGTTTATAAAACGTGTCTAGATGTCACACCCTTATAATATTGCTCTCTCTGGGCTTTCTCCTTTGGGATTCCCCTAAACTTTTTAAAAATGCATATGCTAGGGAGAGTTTCCACACCATTATAAAGAATGTTTCGTTTCCTTTTACAATCCACTCCCTTCAGGACCCAGCTTCCTCACTGACACTCGTTCCCCTCTCCAATCGATGTGGGACCCGCAATCCACCCTCTTCGGCGCCCAACGTCCTCATTGGCACATCGTTTGGTGTCTGACTCTATACCATTTGTAACAGTCCGTGTTTTTCCTTTTGAGCTTCCCCTCAAGTTTTTTAAAACATGTTTGCTAGGGAGAGATTTCCATACGATTATAAAAAATGTTTCGTTCCCTACTCCAACCAATGTGAGTTGTCACAAAGATGCTCTAAGAGATATTGTACATTGCTTTCGTATGCTAGTCGAGTTTAAGTAACTAGAATTTTTATAGCAAATAAACAAATCCACATACAAGTAACAAGCTTGGCATCTAACTTCGAGATAAACAAATTTTTTTTGGTAACTCTCTTTACAATTACATAAACATAGTCAAGATCACCCGTAACTTCCCAAAAACATTGAAACGACCCGAAATCATAAAAAGTAAAAAAATAGAGAACATGTTCGACAAGATCCTTAATCGCATCAAACTATAAC